ACCCCTGTTCTCGCCACCCCTGTCCTCACCCCTGTTCTCGCCACCTCTGTCCTCACCCCTGTTCTCGCTACCCCTGTTCTCGCCACCCCTGTCCTCACCCCTGTTCTCGCCACCCCTGTCCTCACCCCTGTTCTCGCCACCTCTGTCCTCACCCCTGTCCTCACCCCTGTTCTTGCCACCCCTGTCCTCACCCCTGTTCTCGCCCACCCTGTCCTCACCCCTGTTCTCGCCACCCCTGTTCGGGTCTATATATTTCTCTCTACTTTTTACTGCATTATGCCTTGATTGACAATATCTCATTTTTGGCTTTAATGTTGAACTTTCACCAAGGTGAGGAGAGCAATAGGTTTTGTCCCGATGCCGGAACATACAAAAGTCCTTAAAAATGGTAGCTGTTATTCTCTGCTTACTGTTTAGTATTTAATGTAATGCCAGCAACTAGTTCACCCGTTTTCAGTATAGCGTACCCGAGCAGAATGTTGTATTGGGTGCCTTCGGCATTGTCTTTCAGTGAGGTAGCACTCTTACTCGGCATCGCGCTATCACAAATACACCAATACACTCTGTCGCCGGCATACATACATACCTGTACGCATACACACATATGGACGCAAATCCTTGTTTGGCCTAAGCTGTTGAAAGGACGTTAAATCCTGTCGAACCAGCTAACCCTATTCCCACGATGGGAACGTGACATTACCTGGTTTGACCAGGAATTACATAATAGGTGTCGTCGGTGAAGCAGGAAACGCAGACTCTTCAGCAAACCTGAATAATTTAGGCTTAAAGTTAGGATTGGAATGGTTATTATTAAGTTTTAGTTCAAAGTAACCTCTCTTTGACACTTCAGTATTCGGTTGATTGACTAACTTATTTATTATGTATACACCTGTATGTGTATTCATTTTTGATTGACTAACTAATTTATTTTGTATACACCTGTATGTGTATTCATTTTTGATTGACTAACTTATTTATTTTGTATACACCTGTATGTGTATTCATTTTTGATTGACTAACTTATATATTTTGTATACACCTGTATGTGAATTCATTTTTGATTGACTAACTTATTTATTTTGTATACACCTGTATGTGTATTCCTTTTTGATTGACTAACTTATATATTTTGTATACACCTGTATGTGTATTCATTTTTGATTGACTTACTTATTTATTTTGTATACACCTGTTTGTGTATTCATTTTTGTGTTGTAGAAGTTAATCTTTGTTTATTTTCAGACGTTAACCAGCTAAAATGAACACACCCGATATAAAGCGTGAGTTGGAGGTCATTATCATGAATGTAATAATCAAACACTATATATCAGGATTAAAATAATTTATTATCAGTCATTTATTTCGATTATAGCCACACAGAGGTTGTGACAACAAATCAACAAGGCTTCCTAATGAATGCAATAAATGAAAAGTCGCTTTTTATACTACGTTATGAAATAGAGTATTTCCCAATAAGATAATGATGTTGACCATGATATGTGGCCATAGTCTTCACCTCTTGTACATTGCACCAAGCCCTGTAAGTTTGCCCGTCATCATTCCAGTGCCACGGATTCTCGATATTCCAATCAAGCCCCTGAATATCGAATACATTTCATATTTGTCACTTTCGCCGAACTTACCTGCAGTCATAATAATCCTTCTTCTAAATCAAAAGAATACTACTTACATGTCTCCTTCAGTCCTTGTTTTATATTTTAGTATGCTGTTCCCGTGATAAAGTTTAATGTTACATGATGCATTGATCAATGGTTAAGTAAATGGCAGGAACAATTGCTCATATATATGGTTTATAGAATGTAATAAATCCCCAAGTTATAACCAGACTAATAAACCAGACAATCCAAACAAATATCAGTATGATTGATGTGGAGATGTAACTTTAACTTAGGATGTAGACGTTTGATGAATTGTCTATATTTTTATATATTTGCGGATCGTCATCATATGTTTTCAGATTCGTTTCTAAATCAGGGTGACCATATCTTATATTTTCTTTAAATTAGTGATATATAATCAATTTTAGAAGATTAGATATCGTTTATTTGTCTGGAAATTTATCAAAGACTTATTTGTACAAAGCTTATACAAGAGTGTTTTGACGTTCTTCAACATGTAACTGTGATATTTGTGTGTTAAATAGCAGGGCCGTCTTTGCCATCTGCTTTGAGAGGTTGTACAGATATCAGAGCCTAATGATACCCTTTCGCATTCGGCAACTTATTTTATTCAGACTTGCGTGTAAACAGGCGTCAAGAAATAACATTAATTCGTTAATGGTAGAGGCTGACGTAGAACAATCCTGGTGCCATTTTAAGCAATAGTGTTTTGGGAATTCTAAATTGCATTCTCGATTCTTTATATCTCCGAAATAGAAGCCGTGGGCACGGCTAGTATCAGGTTATACCAGTTGTTAGCCCTTCCCTTCTCAGTGGCAATCGACCTAGGTACCTGAGAGTTGTTAAATTAGTTTATATCTGAAATTATAACTCTGTTATACATTAGAAAAAAATAACATCAAAAGAGCACATCTCGAACATGACAATATAGAATCATAACATAAAAACTGTCTAACGTCACGAAATTGAATACACTATAACGGCATCAATTGAATACATTTTTTTGGCACCAATTGAATTATGTAACTTGAAAAAGCATTCTTAATTCATTATGAGGGTGCATACTGACATTGTTCTTATCCTACAGATAATTGCGATTGATCATTTTCTGGTGAGGCTAACGCATTAATACCCATTCTCTGTAGCCATCAACCCAAGTTGGGCACGGGTGGTCACCAATTTTGTTGAAACTTTCCGACAACAAACATTGATATAAGATATGAAAAAAAAATGTTTATGTCACACTGTACGTTGTTTGGTTACCATGACAACAGAGGTTTAATTTTAGAAAAAGATGATTTTTGGGATTTTTTAAAATTGACAAATAATAGTTCAATAACTTTTATATACTTTTTTCTCATACTTTACACCAATTGTTTCTTCTATCCAGGTTAACAGTATAAATTTGGGCATATATGAATATACTAAGCATATACTAAACATTTTTTACCACATGCAAATCTATCAGAAATGGAAAAATAGTGAAAACTTGTTTACACATCAGGCTTAGGTGAGTCTATGTAAATATTTTATTATGAAACTATAAATTAAACTTAATTTTGTCTTGGTCAACATTTTGCTATCCCTCAGAATCACATTTTATGCATTTCTGTAACATTTCAACTCTATGTCCCCTGGTTTAGTCCTAAAATATTCTCTTTTATTCAGGAGGTAACTGTATTGTATTTTACGCTTTCCGGACGTAAAGTACATTTTACTGTCACAAATTCATGCAAAGCTTTAAAATACAGTACAGTTACCTTGCATTTCCAATTTAATGCAATACTAAACAAAATATCTAGTTTTGTTTTTTATTTGGATAAAGTTGTCTAATCTTAAATTTTGTGAAATGTTGTTGACTCCTTTAACACATAAAGGTCATAGCACATCATGATTACAGAAACACTTCCGGTGCAAAAGGTTTACATCGGACAGTTTTGGGATTCGTTTATGCTACAAATTTGGATGAAATCAGGTAAAAATAGTTTTAGGTAGGCAGTTTTATTCATTTCATATATTCATTGGGAAAATATAACATATTGGAATCCAATATGGCTACACCTTACATCCTTGTAAGAAGACCCGTAGTTACGGCATGCAGACCACTGTCATGGAAAGCACTATTGATGATAAATTTGTTGCATTTACAAACAAAAAAAGGATAAAAATGTTATTCATAGATTCTCAGATTTATTAGCTTAAACATATTTATTGCCAAAATTAGACTCAGATTTATTTCCATGCAAATAGCATGTACTTCGAAATTAGTGTAGATCGTATGATATAATCAAAATGTTACCATGGTTACCAACCCCTAAATACAAGTTTCTTATTTTAACATGAATGCAAGTCAGCCCAAAGTCATTCTGTCTATATATTTTTTTGGTAGTTTTTCTTCCTTTCAATTTAAAGAAGTACAATTCGTATTTTTTCATGAAATAGCAATTTTTGACAGACCTGTTTCCATAGCAACATATCTTTTATTTGTTATTTTGTCTTTCTCCAATATAAAATAGATAAGAAGAACATTAAGATGAAATAAAGAGTTTGTTTTAACTTTCAATTACATTTTTTGCAATTTTTGTTTCCATGGTTACACCCCCTTGGCAACAATTCCCCCAAGAATTTTAATGCGTATATTGAAACTAGGATATGCCTCTTTATTGGAAAGTATAATGTCCTATTCCAATATGGATGCATAAGTTTGCTTTACTTCCTCAAAAACGGGGTAAATTAGGTTTTTCTTACAGCTGTTGGACCCTATCATGTATCGAGTGGTCAGGTAAGGATAACATTTGTTGTTAATAATTTTTAAATTCAGTCTTTGTGTGCAATTTGAATGATATTAATATGTAGCATTGGCATTAAAACCAAGACAGTGGCATTTTAACGGATATAGATACCTGAAGATCACCCTTTTCATAGTGGAAAGGAGCTTTTTTGGAGGGAAAAATAAAATTATCCGTTGCCATGGCAACCATGGTCCATAGCAACCATATGGTTTTTTTTGTTTTTATTTATTTATAAAAGTGTGACAACTGACAAAGTTTGAAATTTTCTGAGACTAGGCGTGCCACACCCTATATCTGACATGGTTGATATTTACAGAGAATCCATGTTAAAATGGCAACAATAGGTCAACGTCACATAACACGAAACAGTTGTGTGAGCGGAAAAGGAGGGACTATTGCGTTGTTATGCAATTAACAAGCACGATTCATACACGAAATTGAACGAAATACGGGTTCTGCAAACGTTCTTATTTTAACACACTCCAGTTTCACTACTTTATTGAAATATTAACAGATTAGCGCATTATGAAATGGCACACGCACAAAATATGTAATACAAGATACCGTAACTCCAATCAGCCATAATTTAGCGTTTTATCTAAGGCGCGAAAAGCGCTAAATAAGACTACCGGTAAAATATGGACGTTTGCAGTAATTTTCTTACTTTCTCAATTCTGCGTTCATAGGAAATCAGAATTCTTGGCAAAGGCAAATCTATCTATATTACCTATGAATGTCACGAATGTCACCTGAAAGCATTTCAATGTTTAAACAACACTCACAAAGGAGTTCGTGATTTTTAAAAAAAAAAGGTACGTCTGCTTTATTTCACAATTACGTATAGAAGTGCATTTATCGATGAAGTATATCAACATTAAATAAGGATATAAAGGGATGACACTGGTAGTTAAGCTATGACGTTACAGTCTGAACAACGGAAGTGTCATTATAGTTCACGATGACTTCATTGGAAACAATTATCAGAGGTAACAGTGTTACTTGCAGAGCAATTGTAGCTTTTTAAGTCATAAAAACATCTTGAATCCGTTTCCATTTGATTCCGTTTCATATGAAATTAATAAAGATATCACGCTCAGTTGAAA